TATGTCTAAAATGAATTAGATAAATTGCAATTCGCGTTGTTATAGTATATCCCTCTCTATCTTCAAACACGTTTTATTCTAGAAACCTGAAAGTGTTGAACTGTGTCTTTTTCATGTTGATATTTTTCGACATTCTACCCTGAACATGGATTTATTTCTAATGCAATCTCTTATGAATGTATATTTATTGACATAGCTTAATTTTAGTAATATTATGATGTTTAGTTAAATACAAATTTCATATACATTAAACTACAGTAAATAGATCAATGAATAAACCAAAGAAATTACTATTCAAACGTTTTTAGTTTCCCCACGGAGAGCAGGAAATTGACACTCRACACAATAAAATGTGTAGATTTGACGTTATGGAGACATTAATTTTAATTTTTTGTTAAATCTGGAAATTTAAGAAATCATTTTTTAACTATTAAATCATATTTTTATTTTATCTGTTTTACTATCCCGTCATAATGTGGTATTATTGAATAAATTCTTCATTAAAGCCAACCAAGACTTGTTATATAACCCTCCATTGTGTTTATTGTAAATTCCTCTTACAGATTGTACAAATTAAATAAATGTGTTTAAAAATCATCTGTTGCAATCAAATTTATTTGTGTATTGTAATTAATAATAATTAGGAACAAGATTTATAGTTAGTATTATAGTATATATTATTATTTATTGTACCTATGGTAAAATATATAAAACATCTATAAGGATACAATTTCACTCGTAAATAATGAATTAATCCATAAAAATATCTGACTAAGAATAAATAATATAGATAGGTAAACTGGAAATTAAAATAGCCTAGGATAATCATGCATGTATATTATACACACCATAACCAAAACTGTATGATATGTAGGTATATAAATTAAATTAAAGTTGATTTTTTTCGTTCCATGTGCACTGCATTGTTAATAGTTATAAACTTATAAATTATTATTAAATATTTAAAATTTAAGCACATATAAATAACATTGTACTCTTATGCAATTGTTTTCCTTAATAATAATGAGCACTTGTGTAAATTTAATCAAACCTAACCAATCGAAGTAAGCTTCGAGATGAAATTTTAAAAATACTGCTGGAATATCAAAATACAATTGATAAATTTAGAAATAAAATCATAATAGACTGCATTATGTATATCTACTCTTAATATATAATATATATATTTTAATCGTAAAATATTTTGTTTTAATATTTACAATAATTATCCATACTGTTTTAGGGCACGATTCGGGTACATTTAGAGATGTTATTGGCAAACACATTGAGTGAAGTTATATCCAGCATAGTTATAACGGGTATCAATCAGCACGGGGTGTCGTCTGCAACGTCTAGTGGAGTTGTGGCGTCGCCCACGAAAACGCAATGTTATGACCGTGACAAGCACGCCTGGTCCATAAGGAGCGATTGCCAATCAGAAACGGTCCGACTTCATATGGTTTACAAGGATATTCAGAACGTCCCCAGAAATCATCTCAGGTAAGCAAACACCATAATAAAATATTGAAAATTGTGCAATGAAATTATGGGAACTATAGTAATAGATTCGTATCCGTTAAAATGTTTTTTGATWTGTGAATTTAAACTTAGCCATGTAATATTTACTATTTTAAACAGTCTTACTTAACCAATAAGATTGTTTYAAATATCATTTGTCTGGTGAATATTAAAAAAATCAATTTACATTTAGCATGGAACATGACGCACGACAAGGACAAATTAGTTTATAAATAAATATATAATATCGAATGACGCACCAATCCATGRACGTAATTCCTAAAAATTAAACTAGATAATTATTTGTATGATGTTGTTAATAAAAACACAGAATAAATCAGTAGGTATCAAAAAAAGTAAACTGTCAAGTTTGTGATAGGTTTATGAATAAAGTGGATTTATATATCCAATTTCACTGGGTACACATAAGTAAGTTTTCGAAACAGCGGTAAAAAAAAATACAAAAATACAAAAATTGGGACTCAAAATTTCGATAACGAACCAATATAATTCATTATTTGCATTTATTATTATATAAAATTTGTTAACAATAAACAGTATGGCAAAATGTATAAAACTGCAAATATATATAATATGATCGTACCTAATTAAAATGAATTTTATTATAGTMATTATAGAATGACATTTAGAAACTATAAAATTTTGCTTTTTATGTCATAGCTTATGACATATAACACTTCGTTTTTAATATTGTGAAATAAATATGCCAAATAGTACTAGGTATAATAACATTTTAGTTTCTTATAAATAATATTAATTATTACAAATTATAAAAAAACAATACTATTTTMAAATTGTTCATTATAATTGTTCCAAACATTATTTTGAGTTTTAATATAACGAAAAAATTATATTTGATACGTGACATATTTTTTAATAATAAAGTTTTAACGGTCGCTATATAGTTATCAATTAAATGTATGTGAATAAAAATATGATACATATCCATATTATAGTTTAATATCAACTATCTGTTCAATATTTCACGTATTTATGTATTATACCTGACGTTGTTTATACTAGTCTGAGCACGCTTATTTATACGTGAACATGCTTTGATTGTTATCATAATTTATGTTTGTATTATGAAATCATAATTCATAGTAATATAATTACTTCGTTTTGGGGTTCAACTTGCTAAAATAATACTCTATATTTTAATGCATTGATATCGTCATTCAACTTAAATTAAAAATAAATTGATTTTCATAATGTTTATAGTTACAAAAATCATTGAGAAAAAAATACAAAATATATAAATTTAGTAAAAACTGAAAAATTAAAATCAATTGTTAAAAATAGTAAAATTTTTATTCCATTATATAATGTTTACAATATTTTTTTCTGATCCATATGAAATACAATGAGTATAATTTATTTGTGGTGTATTTGAAACAATACTCACCTTTTAGATTCTGAACGAAGTGATGTATGTATTGATTTTACAATGATGTGTTTTTTTTTTTTTTTGGTTTTATGTCTGTGTACAGCATAACTAGTCGAAATAATGCTTCAATTTCAAACTTTGGGGGTGGTTTCCGGTGTAAAAGTTAGTATACTTGGTGCATTATATAGGTCAAAAGTAAACATTTTCCAACAGTTTTCAAAAAAATTGAGAAAAAAAAAAAAATGATAGAAAAACGGGAATTTTTACGCAAAACCAGTTTTCGACCAAATTGATTTTTTTATATGGTTTTAATTCAAAAACTAATCACTGTAAATACTTGAAATTTTCACCAAATGTTTATGTATGTGTTATCTATATACAAATTAATTTTCAAAAATTTTTGACTTTTTTTGAGTTATTTATAGACCACTGAAATTTTCGATTTTTATGAGAATTTTTTTGTTGAAGTGTCGGTAAAAAATTTTGGATAACTAAAAAAACTTGAAAATTTAATACAAGGTTCCTTATGAGTTATTCTTATCGTAGCTAAAAAATCGTAAGTCACAATTTTTTTTAATRAGCGTTTACAGTTCAAAATTTTACGAAATCTGTCGAAAACGCGAAAATTTGCAAGTAATTTTGAAGTTGAAAAATCATAAAATTGTTTGTGTCTATAACTAAGGATTAAAAATACAACACTAAGTTTTCCTTCAAGTAGCTATAGAGAAAACTCGAAGCATCATCATAGGAAAAATTTAAAGTGCGTTTGAATTTGAAATTTTTACGAAATAGCGTAACGATAACGATTTATCCTCAAATAATTTTAAATATTTGTAATTATTCAAAAAGTATAAGTCGTAGATACTTGGAAATTCCACAAGTTATTTAGATTGGCATTTTATTTCCATGATTTAATTTTTTAAATATTTTGACTTTTTTTGAGATATTTAAAGACAACTGAAATTTTCAATTTTTCTGAAAATTTTCTTTGAAGTGTCGATAAAATTTTTTTG